AAAAGCAAACAGGCCAAAGGCTGCTGTCCTGGAGAATACTCCATTTTAGTTCAACTCATTAACTATTCATGGAGTACCAGTTCCCTGGGGTACCTGTGTGTCTCCCAGGGCTGCTTTTCAGATCTTGAAGGGTCCTTAGAGACTGCCCACCCTCAACTGACCACACATACCCCACTCCTCACAAAAGTGGAAGAGAAAGAGATTTAGCAGAGGTGAGGGCCAAGCACTTCTCACTTTACCCACTCAATCACACGTACACGGGGCAGACGTTTCATGCCATGATTAAGACATCTGCGTCCCATATCAGATGCTGGAGTTCTATTCCCAGCTCCACTCCTGATTCCAGCTTCTGGCTGTTGCCCATCCTGGGAGTCAGCAGCTGATGGCTCAAACACTTGGGTCCTTGTCACCCACATGTGGGTTTTCCCACATGGAGTTCCTGCTCATAGAGTCAGCCTGGCCCACCACCAGTGGCTGTTGGGAGTATTTGGGGAATGAACCAGGGAGGTCTCTCTCTAGCTCACTCACTCATAAATAAATAATTTCATGCATATGCACACACACAGCACAGAAAATCCCACACATGTGCAGCCACACAAACACCAACCAAGTCAGAAGAGAGTGGCCGTAGTGGGGTCCCATTTGACAAAGAACAACGAACATGACAAATAAGAAGACCTCCGTGGATTTCAAACTAAATTTTACTGTCCATGTGAGCTTAGGAAAGCCACATGAACTTTGCTGAAAACAAGTTCAGAGCTGACAAAAATCAACTAAAATAAGAAATTTTGGTCAAGGATGACAAATACCCAGTGTATGAGCTTTCTTTTCCTAAAATGTGCCTTGGAAAGACACTGGACACTTTCCCATTAAATGTTTGCCTTTGTGGCATTAAAACCCCTCTTGCTACTACCAGCTGTTTCTCCAGCCAGCTACCAACTCAGCTTAATTGGAGTTGGTGTGCAAGACAAAAATGCTATTTGCCACCCCCAAACTAGATTCCCTCTGAGGTGCTTTCTGGCCCTTTTGAGACAAAATATCCCCTGATCCCCAGCATCTACAGGGCTTTTTGGTTAAGAGAAAAGCAGTTAATACCTAATACCCCACCCAGGGCAACATATCCAGGCATGCCAGCCTTCTACACTTAAAAGACCTTCAACTGCTTTTTTGTTAGGTCTTGTTTAAGTTCTTCAGTTCCCCAAATTCTTTCTGCCTGGTATGTCCAATCATGTAACAGAAAACAAATCAAAAATCCCAGGGCAATGAAAACCTCAATGTGTTCCTCTGCCCAGGTTTGACAGGCCCTCCTGACTTCTTGTAGAAGCTGCCGTAACAGCTCCAGTAGACACAAAGCCTTTCACGTCTCTGGCCTCTTGCAGCTCACCACGTATCTACGCTCACTTCTGATGAGCCTTTCATTGCCATGGTTCAGGCCAGAGCCTCCTTCCCATCAGAAATCCTCAGTGCTTTCTAACTCCTCTGTGTTAGGGACTTGGAGCCAGAGGAAGCTGCTGCAGCCTTCGTCTCATCTGCTCCCCTCCATCCCGTGGGTCCTCCACTGACTTCCTGGGCCCGAACTGGCCCCTTCTCTACCCTCTGCCCTCCCGTTTCCACCCCTCCAGACCCCATCTCCACTTGCAGAAATACCCTCCATATTTCAATTCCCATCTTGCTTCAAATGTTATTTTTTCTTCTCATGGAAACTTCCTGGACTTCTCTACCCTGGACACGACATCTCCCCCAGTTCACACTCTTCCCTTAGTAAGAAAACTAATTTTGTACCAAGTCCAATGCCAATGGCGGGAAGAACCAGCTACTCCCCAGATCTTGCCCTGTCCCCAGTTGTGATGAAGCAGCTGCCCCTGAATGACCAGGGTTAGCACTGCTCTGGTTCGTTCTCCTTTCTCGTGGCTGTGTGTGGTAGCTGTGTGCCTACACCGTATCTTAGGGCTTCCTAGTGAGCCCATTGCTGTATGAATGCAGTTGAGAAGGAGATTGTCAAAGATCAGATTCTTCCTATTGGCACTAAGGAGTCCCTGCCCCTGCACGCTAGGAAATGCTCCACAGAAAGACAGGGACAATGGAGCCACACTTGCTGGGGTCTTTTGTGCTCAGCATTGCCTCATTCCAGCTGGGAAATGAGAGCAATGAACAGAAGGTGTTGCCTTCTGTGTGACTTCTCTACCTTGACCCCAGGGAGCCTTCCAGGACTCAACCTGGAGGTCCTCTATTCCTGGTTTCCCTGACAGTCCCTGACCTTTCAAGGCCAGCAGAGCTAGAGAGAAGCCAATACAACCTCTAGTAGGTTTCAGCATTAGCAAGTTATGGGCCTTGCTACGTTAATAATAATTATAGAACCACGCTCCCTCAAGTCCAGGAACCAGAAATTCCTTAACACAGTCCATGTGCTTTCCAAAATGACCACTAGGTGTCGCTCTAGTGTAACTAAAGACAGCTAGCTTTGGCGCCAGTATCTGCGCTATCAAAGCTGCCACTTACATTGAATTATCAAACAGCTGTGCTTCTCAGAACACATCTAGAACAACTTGATCCATAGCTGGCTTGCTTCTCCTTCAGTACTTAAGATCTTAGCCATTCCAGCAGACCAAAGAGCAGTTTTAGTTTTTTACTGATTTATATTGGTATTACGAGTTGGAACTGCATCAAACTGACATTTAAATTCAAAAGTGAGCACCAAATATTGATCCATTCACTTTCCAACGACTTTGTACAATTAAAATGTTTTTTGGCTCCTGTACGCTGAAGCCACAGAGGCCATCTCTGCCCAGCTGGCAATTTTAAAAAGAAGAAGAGAACTGGATGCTTTATAATAGCTCTTAAAACACTGAAATTGTCCAGGTCTGGCACTAAAGACAGATAAGTGAACACATTCATCAACTTTCCCCACTTCTCCTTTCTCAAGGAGAAATATTGTCTAGTGTGTCTATTTCAAAATGCCCAAGACCAAAAATGCTGCTGCCTATACCCCAAAAGTGTGAGAAAGAAATTCTGGAGAAATCTTTTTGCCTAACTTCACACATACAATTGAGAAGAAGATGGCAGATTCCGGCAGGAGTCACTGTTTACTCTTTGCACAAAAAGGGCTCCCCTGATGAATGCACAAAGCCAGGAAGAAAAGAGGAGTCAGCACACAGTCATCCCTCAGCCCAGTAGCTCAGGGGCCTGACTGATTGTACAGTGGTTGGGAGAGAGAAGAATGGAAATCAGTTCCCCTGCTTTCCAGCTATGGAGTGCTCAAGGCAGGATTCTAAATACAGTCGTTTTGCACTTCAACCCCTAAGTCATCCTGTTATTTCTCTGCCTCCATTCCCTCTTCTGCTTCTCCTGCAAGAGTTTCCAGGGGTCGGCGATGTGGCATAGTGGGCTAACCCTCCACTTGGGGCACCAGAATCCTGTATGGGCGCTGGTTCAGGTCCTGACTGCTCCACTTCAGATCCAGCTCTCTGTTGTGGCCTGGGAAAGCAGTAGAAGTTGGCCCAAATGCTTGGGAGATCCACATGGGAGATCTGGAAGAAGCTCCTGTCTCCTGGCTTCAGATCCGCACAGCTCCAGCAGATGGAAGACATTTCTGTCTGTCTCTCTGTCTGTTAACTCCACCTCTCAAATAAATACATTAAAAAAACTTTAAAAAAAAAAAAAAAAAAGCGTTTCCCATGCCATGCTGTCAATCAGGAAGGCCCTCACCGCCCAGGGTTTTCGATGTACTTGAAAGATACTCTGTTCAGTAAAATAAGAGGCACCCAAAGGCAAACATGGCATATTCTGACTTAGGTGGAAGCTCCAGAAGCTGTTCTCACACAGGTGCAGAATAGAGACTGGCATGGGAGGAGGTGACCAAAGGGACTGCAGAGAGGGTGGATCCTGGGATGGCCGTTGCACAGTAGGAATGACTTCTCATGTTCTATAGCACAATAGGAAAACTATGGTCGACAATTACTTGTGTATTCCAAGTGTTCCCAGCACGAAGAAATGATATATGTTTGAAGTAATGCATTTGCCAGTTACCCTGATCTGAATTGAAATATCACACTGTATAAATTCGTACAATTATCATGTGCCAATTAAAATGTTTTCAACATATTTTTTAAAGTCCAGTGCTTTTTCTCCCTAGCTGGAGTTTGAGCACAAGCTCCTGTCCATGGGCTGCTTTACCAGTCAGCAATGAGTTCATCACTCAGTAGCAATGACAAGACAAGCAAGAGGGTTTTTAGCTAATGTGCTGGCCACATTTGATATTCACTCTTGGATATACTCTCTCTTGTACTTGAGGCTGTCCCTTTACTTATCAAATTTTGGATTCATCAGTTGAACACTTTCACAGTCCTTCCTATCTGATCACAGTCAACCACAAAGAATAATACCCACCCTCACCATGTGTTCCCCATTGGCTTAGGGCTCCAGGCAATTAGGGGAAGCCATGAGAGTAGTTCAAGTAAATGAAGCAGGAGAAGTACCAGGTATCACTTCTGGACTGAGAAAGAAAAAATCCCCTTTGCCGTTTTTCTGGGCTCTTCCTTTCCTTGTTCAGCAACCAAGCCCAACCCTGAAAGTTCAAGATGATGAAGTCTCTGTTCCTGGGTCCCTGAGGTATTGTGTGGAACAGACCCCTAACAGACATGTAATGTGAGTGAGAAATAAACTCATGTGCTATAAAGTTGCCAAGATACTAGGTTAGCACGTCACTTAAGCATAACTTAGCACACCATATTCAAGGCATGTGCCTTATTCTGCAGTCAGAAAGTATTATTTGAATTTTTAGATATTTAATGAGCTACTTAAAATAATTCACTTTGGTGAGTCAGTGAAAGATGGGCTATGGCAGACTCATAACACTATAATCCTAGTACTTCACATGTGATACATTCTGTTTTGAGGCAGAGGTACTACTTAGATAAAGTTAATTTTTTGGGAATGGTGGGAAATCACACTGGCATCATTACTTCATCTCTTCAAACAACAAACATCTCAAGACAAACTAATTCTGATCCAACACAGTTTATTCTTTTTTTAATTTTTGTCCTCAATTTTCAATGATCAAGTATTCAAGATGTTGTAAACCAAAGTTTATTAGTACACTGACAATAGATTTCATTAAACACAAGGAAATTACACATTTTTAAATTACCCTAAGAGGTTTCCAAATAAATACTCATGTTAAAAATCAAAAAATCAAATCCTTTTATGTAACAACTGGAAACAGCCTTTCATTGCAAGCATACCTCTACACACACACACACACACACACACACACAGAACACACACTTCATTAAGATCCTAGAGCCAGCTTATTTGACACAGTTATTATACTATATTTCCTTAAATTAAAAAGTTAGAGGTTGACCCTCCTGATTCGTGCTTCTAAACTAACATTTGGGGTATGGGATAGAGGTATGTATTTTGAGAAAAATGCCCACAATCAAGTCGTATATCAATGATTCTTGCTTTTTACTTCTAGATACAAACTTTAAATAACTTTAGCTCACCCCTTTGGTTTAATATGTCCCTGCAGTTACTTTACTTTTTGAGAATATGTTCTTCAATTTTAACTTGTAAGAGTAGAATACCAGAAAAAGACAACACTTCCAAAAACCCAGTGATAACAATATCTTACATGGGTATAAGCTTTTTGGAGAAGAAATAAGAAAAGATTATCTGAAATATTTTCACCTCTCTCTGAAATTATTTTTAGCATCTAATTATTCTTGCTAAAATAAATATCAAAAACACTGAGTTTTCCATAGAAGAGTATCCCCCTTACACGCTTCCTTTCTGTAGTGTGGAGTGCATGAATTAACTGTTGAAATGCAAGTAGTGGGTGCTTGTTTTCTGGGAAATTTTCCAGATTTCCAAATGGAAAGCACATGCAGCCCCTATCAGTGAATTACTGTGAAGTCAGTGGAGAACATGCATTGTTAGATATTTTTAGCACCAAGGCATTTTTTTAGTATTGCTAAAGCAAACAGCTAAGGAGAGTTTTTATCATATTTGACCCTTCCTAGGGGTGAGTAAAAATGAAGTGTTGAAAATTCCAATGCAACAAGTAGTCTGGGACAGATACAGCCAGCAGCATCCCAGAAGATGAAGAAGAGAGAAAAAAAGAGAGAAGATAAAGTGCACAAGGCAACTAACCTCACCTGCCAGCCACAGGCTTCCTTACTATAGACGGGGAAACACAAACGTGTCAAGCTACCTACAAGTTGGTATAACAGAGAATTACCAAACCTGCAGTCTAGGCGATTCTGAGTTCTATAGTATTTTGGTATCCACTGCTACTCAGAACACTCAGTATGCACCTATGTGTACATAGTTGTATTCATGGTGTGTGTCATCTGGATGTCCTAAGCACATACACAATCACAAAGTGTAACTGGTACCAGCCTAGAATGGCGCTTGTCTCCTGCCCCCAGGCACACTAGAGAATTCCCACAAATGCTTCAGGTCCCTTCAAACCATGAAGGTTCTCTTTGGTGCACAAAAGGTTGCTACAAAACAGGCTGCAAAAAGAAATTTTCTGGATCCCAGTCCACCAATACATGCACTCCAGAAATGCAAACTAAAGAAGCATATCCTTGGTGGTTGGTGAAGATGTAGGACAGCCCTTCCCTCCACGGGGCCCTCCACCAGGTCACTCCCTTCTTGGAACACTTGCAAGTGCATGCTGCAGTCTGTTGTCACAGCTTCTAAAGGTAACAACTGCATCGATGGTTAGCTATGAATTTTGTATACATTCATTTGAAATATTTATTAGGAATCTTAAAATTCATATCACAAAAATACCAATGAATATGCTAATATTCTGAGAGAGAAAAAAACATACACCTGAAACCCCCAAAGCTCAGATTCAACAAATCAATACTACCTTCCCTCATAATGTTTCTTTCTAGAAACTCTACTGTTGACTCAATGTCACAATTGAATTTGTTCTATGTTAAACATGAACTATAAATAAATATTTGAGGTATGTTATGAAAAACAATTTGAATGTAACACTTGGCTAAATACATGTAAATTTACTTTGAAAATCTAGTTAAACATTAAATGTTGATGTTTCCTACAGGTTTTTTTTCTATTTACACAAAGAAATTTTAACTTCTGCACTCTTTAGAAACAGCAACACATCCAAAAAATGAAACATTTCAACTTCACTATTTTATTATCACATCTTGCTTTCATTAACCAAAAACTACTGTATGCATTGGGTAGTGTAATAAGTGAATAACGCAGAGAAATCTTCACCCTGATTTTATCATTCTTTATAATGATACACAAGGTATTTTGCCACTCTTGGCTTCAGTTTTTTATGTATTGAAAAAACAGAATGAAATCTTTGCAAGGTTATTAAAGGGATTAAAATGATGTGTATTAAATACTTGACAAAATGCTCTACAATCAAAACACAAAAAAAGTTCACTTTTTCTTCTCTACTCCCCTTCTCGCCTTCCACCAACATTTTTCACTGTATTTAAGAACTAAATCCACCAGCAAAGAAGAAGGAGTCCATGATGATGAAGATAACCAAGAGGATGTGCTTCAACCACTTAATTCACCCTCTGGGAGCTGCTAAATTAGTAGGCTGGACTCAAGGATATTATATTTGCATATTAAAGCCAAATAATACTGTGACATAGAGTATATAAAGGAATAAGATGACCTTCTGCCAAACAAGTAATCCAAAGCTACACTCATGGAAAGTGGCAATGAAAGCTAATAGTGGCTGTGACCAGAAAGTAACATGATCAATTTATTAACAACCATAGATTGGCTTTGTATACACAATTCAATGAAATCATCTACAAAACAGTCACTGTAATTGGCCATGCACTACTTCAGTGCTCCCACCAGATGCCAAAGCATTTTGGAAACAACTATCAATTGGTACATATTCCAAAACTTCATTCCCTCATGATTTTTACTGCTTAACTGACGTTCATTGACAACACATTAATGACACACCTGCTATTTATAATTATTGGATACTTTAGGAAGTACAATATTAACACTGTGATGCACATTTCAGGCCATTTTCTTTGGATTCTGGCCTGATCAGCAAGAAGGACTTCATGAAGTAATAGATGACAGTCAGGCAAAATGGTACTTGACAGTTAATTGGTGCATGGTCAATGGCTGCACATCTGGATGACTGTTCAAGGTAGAGAAGGGGCTAGAAGAAGGCTCTCTAATTGCCCGCTGGTGAATTCAGCAATCTTAGCTACCAAATAAAGTGTCAATCCCACCAATATCCTGTTATTGCACTACCTTAATGATCACAGGAAAATTAAGAAAGCATCACCCGTTCCCTACCTACACATCTTTAGTTCCAACAATAAAGGAAAACTTCTGAAGGATCAAGATCTCCCGTAGAGGGCAAAGAGCAGCCCTGAGGTCTCACAGTAGACATCAGGTCGATCAGCAGTGTCTTCTGAACACCTTCAGTGTGTGCCACCTTGGCTGAAGTTTGACAGATACCAGTACACTTACAATCTTAGCCAAGCAAGAATGTACGCCACTTTAAGAGCCAAAAACCTAAGACCCAAAGGGAAGTCCTTGTCACTTGAAACCACAAACTCCACCCCTTGCAGACATGATTCAGTCCAATAGAGAAAAACCACCACCACAAATTGCATGTACCAAAAGAACCACTTGACCATTTCTAGGTAGAGAGGAAAATGACCCTTGACCTAGGAATAGTCACACGATTCCAGCTATACAGCCCAGCAAAGATGGAAGTCAAGGGCAGGAATCGTGGGGCCATCCCGCAATCACATCTCTTCCATGAAAGAGTGTAAACCAGGTGAGGAAAGAAACATGGTCCAAATTAGCCCTACACGATCACAGGTGCCTTGGCAGAAATCTCTCATAATTCTATTGGTATTTGGATCTTACAGTCCCCAACAGCCAGATCTCATAAATTCACCTGCTGGCAGTCACTACCCTAAGCACCATGTAGAAAGTGTTACATGTGGTGCCTAAATCAAAGTGACATGCGGGGAGGTACTGATGAGAATGACGGATAATGAATCCAAAGGGCATGTAGGAGCCGAAAAATCCGCTGAGACTCACAGCAGGAAGGTGACAATAGGAGGGGATCAAAGAAGGGTGCACCATGATTCCAACTCTTATCGAGTGTGACAGAACAGTTTATCGTCAAGAATTCTCCACCATCACTTAGAATCATATGCTGGGTCCAGCTTACAGATCTGCCTCTTCCTGCATTCAAAGTGATTTTCATATCCCAGGGTCAGCTTTCCTGCTCTAATGACTCATTGTCAGAAGCAACACAGCAATTTTCTGTATGAAAAAAGAAAACAACATGGATTTGCCAGTGCTTTCAAGATCCTGGTCTTACATCTCTGGAGTCTGTTCTCTGACTACTTTGACTGTGTAGCTTATAATTCCTAACTATCCTAAAGAATTCAAGACATTTTTGCAGCAATTTCCTTAGATGAGAAAGCCATCTGTTTCTCTTTGTATTATGCATCTTAAATTACAATTGTGGGCCATCTTGTTTAGCACACAGGTTTTAGAGTCCCTTATGAAAGAATACTGGAGTTTTTATTCAAACTATCAGATTCATGATCAGCAGCCTCTTTAACTACCTACAATAGGGCAGACAGACTAAAAGAGAATGTGTCTTGGGAAATGATGTAGCTGCTCCTTCTACGAGGCTATGCACATGGTTCCTTTGCAGCATTTAAAAAGTTCTACCTGATTGAAAACTCCGCTATGGCTTAAAAGGCTACTAACAGTACTTTAGGGAATGCTTCCCTTCTTCCATTCAAAGATATACCTGCTCTATTCTCAGGAAGCCAAAGTAGCCTGCTGCACTTTCATTTTTCCCATCAAATTGCATAGTTGAGTCAAATGCATTTGTGCTTTGTAGCAGAACTCACAGTAGGTGTTCGTATCTAAAAACCTTGATGTGTAAGAGTCATGGTCAAGCTCACCATTGTTTGGAGTGTATACTAAGGAGATGCACCACCATTACCTTTCCCAGATTTGGTTAACCATGTACCTCGACGTCATACCATACTGGAGCATGAGCATTGGGTTGACAGAGCAGAAATGCGAACAAATTTAGCTAAACTCTCCTCTTGGAGAAGAGAGGGGCGAGGCTCGCAGTCTTGTTGAGGTATGCAGCCCTCCTCCGATAGTGGCTGAGTATGCTGAGTTTTGTTGGTTTGAGGATTGTGTCTGTAGAGGTTAAAAAAGGAAAGAAAAGAAGGCACGGGTGTTTCTCAAGTCGCCATATTGAACTCAACCAACAAAACCAAAGTCTTCATTTTCAAGCTTCAGGAGGGAGCTATAGGGCAGCGGGACTGCCTTCCAGCCCCGGGTCTGCACAGGAACTGACTGCTTCTGGGAAGGGCCCCGGATAGGTCTGTGCCGTGCAGTGGATGCCCTTCTGCAGAGCTGCCTCTTCGTGGAGTTCTCCCTGGGTGCTGAAAGCGGGACACGATCTAGTCCGGGCGTACTTCTCAGCACCGTGGGGCTGGCCCACGAGCTCACTCACGGTGCTTAGGGGGCGCTCTCTCCACCTCTGCCTCTGACGGCCCTCCTCCTTGTATTTGATGGAGTACCAGGCCAGAAAGATAAAGATGAAGCCGACGAATTTGAGGCCAGCCGCCAAACCAAAGTAGACGAAGCGAAAGGACGTCACGTTGTACTCCCAGCAAGAGCCCTGCACTCCGCACTCCTGCTGCCAGAGCATACAGGTGGTGTCGATAACTGCTCCAAAGTAAATTGGGGTCGGAATGTATGCTACAATTGAGGAGAAGGAGAAAAAATGTCAAGATCCAGCACATCTCAGAGGAGAAAACAGATCGGTAAATGAGCGAGGCAAGCTCTAACACCAGTTGATAAGCCTGATTTTCTTACAAGAGTTTTTAAAAGATGAGTCACATCTTATCATCCTGTATTTACCATAAAAGCATTCACTGAGTGGTAAATACTTAAAAATCCTGCAGTTTGTAATTCAGAATGCATTAATGATTTTAGTCATAAAAATATCCGTTACCTGTATATGCACATTCAATCACTACCTGTACACCTTAGATAGATAGAATTTTATTTGTCAAATATCCTTCCATGATACAAATGCAATTAAAGAATAATTAAAGACTCTTCTTAACCTTAAAAGTGGAATTTTGCCATTAATACTTAGGAGACTGTGCTTAAACTTTTATTGCCACCGCAATTCTGTGGCCTTAGCTCTCATGGGTTGGGTTCCCGTCCTTGGATATAGGAAGAACGTGAGAAAAGCCTTGTCTCTCAGAAGCCAGTTAGCATATCAAGCAGCACCTTTGTAAAGGTACTTGAGGTGTGGAAATCATTATGGCATAGAGTTCATCTCTGAAGCTTAGGAAACATTGGAGATGAGCAGTAACTTCACTGTTTGGCCTATGATTCAGACATAGCTTTATTTTTTCAAATATGTATTTATTGATCTGAAAGACAGAAAGATGGACAGATGGAGAGCTCCCACCTGCTTGGTCACTCCCCAGATGTCATCAACAACCAGGGCTGAGCCACACCCAAATGGGAGCTAAGAACTCATTCTGTGTGTCCCACACGGATGACATGGACCCAATTACTTGAGCCACAACCATGGGCTCCAAGGGTGCACGTTATAGAAAGCTGGAGTCAAGAGCCAGAGGTGGCACTGAACCCAGATTCTCCAGTGTGGGACACAGCTGTCATAACCACCCTTTAATCCCTAGGCCAAACTCCAGCCCCTAGCCATTTCTTTAATATCTTAAGAAAATATGCCCACTAGTCATCTTTCATCGTATGCTTATTTTCTTTGCCAAAACATGCCTTAGCCCCAACTTATTCTGTGGGCAAATGTCTATCCCTCCTTTAAACTCCTTGCTCACTGAGCTGCCACTCTATTCCCAGTGCATTGTATTAACTATGTATTAACTTTGTATTCACCATGTATTAACTATGTATTAACTTTGAATTAACGATCACAGTGTTTAATCTGTTTGCCTCTCAGCTCCTTCATGGCAAGGACTATGCCTTTTTGTCCTTTGCATTCCAGGACCTCTGAGCACAGCCCAGGGGTCCTCAACAAGACTGTGTAGAAGGAGGTCATGGATGTGAGGGACCCAGGGAGGAAAGGAAGAAAGAAGAGGGAAGGAGAGAGGATGATGAACACCAGCCCAGAAGGTTGTGAGTGATGTCTTTTTAAGGAAGTTGTATTTATTTAAATTGAGGGCTACCAATAGAATTAAATTTTAACATTATGAAAGCATTTTTGCTTTGGAAGTTGGGGAATTGAAAATTGGCTTGTTGGCCTGACTACCCTTTTCGCAATCAGTGGAGGTGAAGATCACATTGAATTCAATACTAAAAGCCTGAAATGCTCTCCTCCCACTCCTTCCTGCTGCTGCAGTATGCACCTGCTGGCTTACCTTTACCTTCAAATCCACATCAAATCGCCCAGCCCCAGGGCCACTCCTCCAGCAAAAAGAAAAAGCTATTTTTCTCTTTTCCTATTCAACAACCCCATTGGTGAACAAATTTCCATTTCAATATAATGCTTTTTACTTTTCAGTGAGTACTATAGGGCACACTTCTTAACAATTTCTGAATGTGTCAGAATTTCCTAAAGCAAGCTTGCTTTTAGAAATGATGCCTTTTGAAGTCTTATTAGTACCACAAAGCAAGCCACCAATGAACTGACCCTGGAAGCATTTCATCCTGGAGCTCAGTAGAAAGTTCTCTTTCCTGAGAGACTGAGCCGCCATCACACTGAGGATTACCAGAGAGGATTACTGCTTCAAATGCTCAGAGGAGGCCATTTTAAATATTTTATTCTTCAATACCAAAAACACATTGAATCAAAAAATCTGAATTTTTTTTTCCTCCTGTTGACAATGGTACTGATTACAGGGGATGGGGGAGACAGGCAGGGAGTAGCAGCTGACTGTCACTTTAGAAAGAAAACATCAACTTGGTGATGAGGAAGCCAATTGTAAATGCACTGAAATTGGTTAAGGGAATGAGTTTCTTTGTACGCTTTCTTCCCATTCATGGTCCCAACACTTTACAGGTGACACCATGCTTGTAAACATAAGGAAAGGGGGTGAACATTTAGCAGAGTGGTTAGGACTCTGGCTGGGACAGGACACCCCATATTGGAGGGCCTGGATGCTGTGCCCAGTTCTGACTCCAGTTTCCAGCTAACACAGACCCTAGGAGGCAGCAGTGATGGCTCAGGTAACTGAGTTCCTATCACCCACATGAAAGACCTGGACTGTGTTCTCAGAGCCTGGCTCCCAATTTTGGCCTGGGCCAGTCCCAAATGTTGTGGGTCATCTCTTGGTCTCTGTCAGATAAATTAATTAAATTTTAAAAAAATAAGAACAATATTCTGCCTACACAATGAACTCTTTGGTTTTTCACACTGACATAGAACTAATGAGCTTCTCCTATTAAGAAAATCTATACAAGGCAGTCCTTGTATTTTATTTGGGGAATTTTTTGAATTCTTTTCGGCCAGCGCCATGGCTCAATAGGCTAATCCTCCTCCTTGCAGCACCGGCACACCGGGTTCTAGTCCCAGTCGGGGCGCCAGATTCTGTCCCGGTCGCCCCTCTTCCAGGCCAGCTCTCTGCTATGGCCCGGGAGTGCAGTGGAGGATGGCCCAAGTACTTGGGCCCTGCACCCCATGGGAGACCAGGAGAAGCACCCGGCTCCTGCCATCGGATCAGCGTGGTGCACCGGCCGCGGCAGCCATTGGAGGGTGAACCAATGGCAAAGGAAGACCTTTCTCTCTGTCTCTCTCTCTCACTGTCCACTCTGCCTGCCAAAAATTTTTTTTCTTTTGCTCAGAAAATTTGACAGCTATACTCTTGACCAATAAAATTACTAGAAAGAATTGAAAATTTCATAAAATAATCACCAGTTTCTTCTTCTGCTTTTGTGTTAAAAAGTATAGAGATATCAAAACATCAAGAAAACAAACAAATTTTAAATTTCTGGCTGTACTATTTCTTATGGTACAAAACTCTGGGGAATTCTGCTCAAGTGTATATTCAGAGTGAAAAAGGAACTAACCTAAAGTTGGTTTGGTTTTGTTTCAACCCAGGGAAGAACTTGTCAACTTTAAGTTCACAGCAGAAAGTGGTTAAAGTGCCATCTTAAGTGTTAAAGTGACCATATGAAGTGTCAAAGTGATCATATATATAGAATTCAGTATTAAAGGGATCATATAAATGAGATCAAGTGTCTTGTAATAATAATACATAGAAATAAAAAGGAGAGAATGTCCCAACATGGGAAGCAGTCCACAAGGCACACTCATAGACTGATAGTCACTTTAAATAGCACTCTTACCTCAGAATCAGCCCTTAAGGCACTCTGGTCTGGCTGAAAAGCCCATGAGAGCATTTCAGGCATGGAAAGCCAAGATACTGTGGCAAAAAAAGTCCTACATGAAGGATCTCCTTGAGTGAGACCCCAGTGGAAAGAAGGGGCCATCAAAGAATGATGTAGTTTTCTCTGAAGGAGAAGAAAACTTCCACTTTGCCTATGGCCTTGCCTAAATACTGATGGAGGCTGTGGACTCAAAAGACTTCCATAGCCTTGGCAGCTCATGGCAAAAGCCTCAGGTAATCACTCATGTCATACATAAGGGTGTTAATTATTAAATTAATAGCAGGAGTCACTGTGCACTTACTCCCCATGCAAGACCTTTGTCCTGATTAGTTGTACTATGAGATTTAACTGTAAAACTTGTTCTCAAACAGTTTTTTATATTTTGTATGTATGTATGCTTTACTTTGTGTGTGAAGTCTTTACCTTGCATAGAGGTGGTCTTCTGTGCATAAAATTAATTGAAAATGAATCTTAATGGTGAATGGGACTGGGAAGGAGAGAGGGAGGAGGAAGTGGTGAGGGAGTGGGAATGAGAGGGCAGGTATGGTGGGAAGAAACACTATATTCCTAAAGATGTGCTTATGAAATTAATACTCATTAAATAAAAGGTAAAAAAAAAAGTAGTAGATTGTGGTTAAGGGAATCTGATCAAGCAGAAATATTAAAATACAAAGCATCTATTAAAAAAATCACAGCAGAAAATAGGAATTTGTGTTCTCACCACTAAGCTGTAAATCCCTAGCTGCTAAAAAAAAAAAAAAAAAAAAAAAAAAAAAAAAAAATTTCCTAGCTGCTACTGGTGACAAAGGACTTCATTTGCAATTGAAAAGACACAGAGAAACTGCCATCCACAAAGAGGAACTAAAAGCCACCCTTGGAAATTCAGGAACGTACCAAGTGTTCTCAACAAAACAAACTGCATCCCCAATGCGAAAGGTCTCTCCTCATCTTCCACTGATCTACAGTGAAGGGAAAGAAAAAAACATTTTAAAATAGTGCCAAGAAAATGAATGTGGAATCAAGCTTATGTTATGCAGAGCTAGGAACTAAAGGAAAGCTGGGCCCAAACATTTAACCACTAGAATTTCTGACAACAGCCAAGCAAGATGACTGAATAAAGGGGTAGCCCAAGAGATGTTGAATAATGCTGACGGTCTCTTTATAAATACCGGTAAAGGTCAAAGGCTGTTGTCTGAAGAGGCAGCAGCTGTTCTAACTGAGCTTCCCAAACCAGTTCTTTTTTCTTAATTTTTGGAGTTTTATCCCAAATACTGCATTCTTTTTCTCTGTTCACCTCTAGTTGCCAGAATGATAGGTGTGCACACTGAAAATGACTCCCATAATTCCTTATTAGGACAAAACAACCAGAAAATGTAAAAGCACAAGTTAAAAGCCAAAGAAAGAATAAGTCCCTCTCAGACATCTGTTATTTTCCTAAAGCATTTGCTCTGAGCAATTCCTAGATGGCAGGAGGACTGGAGTCCTTTAATTGTGTCATTAGCAAACAGTCAAGGACTCCTTTTTCCAGCCTTTTGGGTGAGAAGCCAACTAGTGGTTCGCCACATCTGAGCACTATAAAATGGTGGCCTTCTGTGGGTTATTTAGATTCTGTAGAATTAACCTGAAAAGATTTATATCATTTAAGTGAGGGAGTCTAGTAATGATTCATGCTCTTTTCAGTTGAGGGAATCCTTATCCTCTCTAAACCATTCACATAAATGTGTGCTTATAAAATGGAAAATGTCCAAGGTGCAGTGTCCTTGTTATCTTCTCCCCGACTTATTTATTTCTCATAAGAATTTGCTGGGTGTTGCACGGGTGGTTGTTACGTCCCAAATATCTGCTAATTGAGGAACCTAGTGAGTAAACCAGTGGGTTTCTCATGCACCAATATCTTACATTCCAGGCACAACTTTACCAAGAGAGTAAAGTACAGCTCACTGCCTTGCTAAGCAGTGCCCAGCACTGTGGTGATCTAAAGAGCCAAAAGGAAGGATGAGGGTTAAATCACTTCTTCACTCCCTTATGGCACAGTGCCCCTGGTCTCCCTACAGGTACCATGCTCTCACTTTACCACACTGCCCCTTCTGCCCACTGCAGGCTTTACTGCAAATACCAAAACACTGATTTGAATGTGACAGTGTCAACTCTTTTACAAGAACAAAAGTAGCTTCCAAGTCCCCTTATAAACAAACAAACAAAAAATCAGATAGGATGAATAATAAGGCAAAGAGGGCACGGCTTAAACAACTGAAAATCACCTCTCCCAGGCTACTGTTTTCTTGACTCATCTCCAGAACGTTATACGATAGGAAAACAAGTGAGCGCAGCATTTGAACTGCAGGCTCAGCATAAATCATCATGGATCCTGGAGGTACAGTATGAACAGCCTACAAGGTTGCAGATAACAGCCTTTGTTGTATGCATCATTTAATAACTCTACCAACTGCCTTCCTGCCTTTCTGTGGGTCTGGCTTCTCATAGTTAACACAGTAATGATTTTTAGCTCCTAAAGATGGACCTCATAGGGCAGAAAATACAGGAACAAAAAGCACCCCAAAGAAGTTTCAGTTAACAGTAGGACCAGAACCTAACTAATAAAGAAAGTTCCGGAATATGAAATGGTACAAATAGCCTTTTTGTAATTGTACTGATAATATCTTCCTTTCCTTTTCACATTTAACTAACAAAAGCCTACTGCTAATCTTGTGATTGATCAGAAGATTTGTTCAATAGATGTTGTCCTAAGAACTTCAGGAGCAAACGTCAGATAAAGAAGGGATTTGCGACTACCAGCCCAAAGTGCCAAGCTTCCTGTCAAAGAAGTTTCCATCCAAGTGACATCAGAATGACCAGAACCAACCCTAAAACCTGTCTGACAGTCTTCCCTAACCCTCTAGTCCCCCAGCTTCCTGCTAACTTGCAAATTATGGAAAGCACTTTTGAGACTAAAGTTGTCTACTTTTTCCCCAAGAAGCCGGACTCTTGAGTAAACCTCAACTCTCAACTCTCGTCTCTGGTGAATTGGCTGCCCAACATTGAGTAACCCCCATCTAATTTTTGACGGTATCATCTTCCCTTTCGGATAGCAAAAAGCTGACTCTTTGTAAATTCACCTGGCAAGTGTCTGAACATTCCTCCATACAACTTGTTTTGCCCGCCTCTCTGCTCTGCCTCATGGGCCCACATTCTGGAATCTGCCTCTGGCAGTTCTAAGCACATCACCCACCGAAGAGGTGGGATGCAGTTCTCACCTGAGTGTTACTATGATGGCTGATGGCTGGGCGCATGCTGTGATGAAGGTGACTATGAAAAGAAAAACTAAGAAGGGGATAAGGGTATTGCAGGCGCGTTTACACTTCCCAGACAGAGCATAGCCATTCTCATTGAGATAAGTTTTAACAATGACCACGCGGAGCTGACCACGCTGTCCCACTGTGGGTGGAGTGATCACTTGTCGGCTTTGGACACAGGTGCATTCTGTGTAATTCCGTATCTAAGTGAGCAAAATAAAGGTCAATGTGCATCAATCAAAAGTAAAAGGTAGCATAGGAATATTAAGACAAAGTTAACATGTTCTAAGACAACCCTAGTATCTAAAAAATTAACAATATTTCATTGATAACACCTTCCTTACTGATAACAGTAAGAATTTAAAATGTGTATCTTAATGATGTTAAAATCTGTTGGTCAAAATTGTTTAGACCTAAATTTTTCTAAGAAAATTTCAATACTCATTTGTATAACACTCACAATCCATAGGCTCATTTTTGGTTATAATTAACTCCTCGACTCTACAATTAGAGAAACTTCTTAAAAACAGGGACCCAGGGGCCAGTGCTGTGGCTTAGCAGGTAGAGCCACCACCTGCAGTGCCAGTATCCCATATGGGCACTGGTTCTAGTCCCAGTTACTCCACTTCCAATCCAACTCTCTGCTGTGGCCTGGGAAAGCAGTAAAAGATGGCCCAACTCCTTGGGCCCCTGCACCCACGTGGGAGACCCGGAAGAAGCTCCTGGCTCCCAGCTTCGGATTGGCACAGCTCTGGCCATTGCGGCCAACTGGGAAGTAAGCCAGTGGATGGAAGACTCTCTCTCTCTGCCTCTCTTTCTCTCTGTGTAACTCTGCCTTTCAAATAAACAAATAAAAAAAAAACTTAAAAACAAACAAACAAAAAAAAAAAACAAAAAACCAGGGACTCAGAGGTGGCTGTTTGGTGATTTGGTGCAACAATTAAGATGTCACTTTGGATGCCCACATCCCATAAAATAATGCACAGTTCAAGTCCTGGCTACTCAACCTCAGATCCAGCTTCCTGTTAATGTGCACCATTAGAGGCAGCAGATGATGGTTTGAGTATCTGGGTCCTGGTCACCCATTGAGAGGCCAAGATTAAGTTCTGGGCTCCTGGCTTTGGTCTGGTAGAGCCCTGGCTGTTAAGGACATTCAGGGAGTGAATCAGAAAATAGGAGACCTTTCTCTGTCTCTCTCTTTCTCTGTGTGACTCTCTCAGAATTTCAAGTAAATATAAATAAATAAGTAAACATAAAAAAACAAGGACCCAACCATATTTTTATCTGTGCTCTTCAGAACACCTAGCACGATGCAGAGCATAGAGTTCCCTATAGGGAACGTCCATTAATGTTAATAAATGCAAAGAATTCATAACACAATCATGAAGAAGTGTGAAGAAGGAGTGCTATCAAATCATCTGTACTCAAAGGACTGCTCGTCTTTTCAAATACTTATTTATTTTCATCTACTTAAAGGGCCAAGAAAGAGAGAGACAGAGACACAGAGAGAGGTCTTCCATCCACTGGTTTACTCCCCCAGTGCTCACAGAAGCTAGGGCTGGACCAGGCTAACACCAGGAGCCAGGAACTCCATCCAGTTCTCACACATGTGTGGTAGGGGGCTCAAGCACATGATCCATCATGTGCTGTCTCCTGGGAAGATGTCATTATCTGCCATCTTAATAAAAAACTGGATCAGAAGCAGAAGAGCCAGAACTCAAATTGGCCTTCCAGTATGGGTAGCAGGCATCCCTAATGGCAGTTTAACCTGCTGTACCATAATACATACCCCTGCTGGTCTTTGTAAAAGAATGAGGACCAGAAGATGCATTGGCTCCCAAGGAAGGACTTAGCCACTGGGAAGTGCAGATTTCAGGGTCTGTTTCAAGTTGGTCACACACTGGAGCTCACTAACTGTACAAGTATAAAGGGGGAACCAGCCACAGGAATTCTCCATTTATCACTCTAGTGTAAAATTCAAAACTCACAAATGACACTTCCTAAAAATTCAATGATATAATCCCTTATTATCTGCACAAAACAAGCAAACACACTTAACTTTTCAATTAAAGCAACTTTCTCCAATCTGTTATTACACAAAGAATTAAACCAGGCTCAGTGAAGAACTGTGTAGGATATGAACACCTTCTCCCACAGCATTAGAACCTATTTATAATTCACAAGGAAGGGAATTCTCAAAATAGCCTATTCTTGAACTGACAGAAATATCTTTACCCTGAAAGTCTTTAAAAGGTCTGAACTAAGCTGATGGTCTTGAAAAATGACTACGGTCCATCTTCACAGATGCCCATCACGGAGCTACTTTCCCATTCTCTCCCATCAGTACCAAATGTGGCCACCCTGACTTTCAAACCTATCACAAGAGTCCTGCAAAGGGAATGAGTGCAACACCTAGAACTCAACTTTGTCCAGTACCATTGAGTTGACACAACATGTAACGTGGAGAGGGCTGACATGGAATCAAATCTCTAGACCCAAATGCCCCAGTCGTGCCTGGGGAAGTGTGTCTTTGGTTGTCTAGTGGCTAGGATTTGGTGCTTTCGTGCCTGGGGAAACAATGATGGTACTGCATAATATTCCTTCCTCTAGGATTTGATCAGAGGTATTTTGTAGGTTATTTGGAGCCTCTTAAAAAAGGAGACTGAAGTCATCATGAGTGCATATGAATTCTGTCACAGGACACTGGATTCACATCGGAAGAGGAATGTAGGGTTTATACTTACTCCAGTGCTAAGGTTACCACTATTGACACAGCCAGCCAGACATGGATTAAAGTATGTGATTCCATCTGATCCACAGACTGGCTCATACTCATGTATCTTACAGCCACAGTTCACATTGCAGCTTCCTGTCAGATTCCTATGGGGCATGGTGAGAGAAGGTCTAAGAGAGAAAAAAAGCAAGCCATCAACAACATTTATTAAAACAAACCAGTAAGAAAGTGCTTGGTGGTTACTCATTTGTCCATTCCAGAGAAGATATTCCCATCAAATCAAAGCTGTGGCCCCACGAAGTAGCCATTTTCAGTAATTATTTTTATGACTTTAAGACAAAACATTTCAGCTTTCTGAGAGTACAGTCAATGAGTTTTTTCAAGTTGTCCATCTTGCCTCAGTTTTGCCCTCTACCTTGGTACAGTGGATCAGGTCTCAATGCCTGGCCTCAGCAATTCTAACTCTTGTATACCTATTTGCTTACTGGAAGTACTTGCCCCCATGTCTTAACTAAGCTGAGCCTCAATTTCTCATTACTTTCAGTTTTATTTTATTTTAGTTGACACATAATACCCGTACACATTTGTGCCCTGCAAGCTAACTTATGTATGTGTACATTGTATAATGATCTGTTCAGGGTGATTATCATATCTTTCACCACAAACATTTGTCAATTGCTTTAGCTGTAGAATATAGAAAGTACTTTTCATGACTGAATCAATAACATCACTGAGAGTAATAAACACAGGCTCCATCCATCACAATTATTAGTGTAGGCTCCCGGGACCAAAATCTTTAATTGTGCTAGAAAAACTTATTGAAGTAAGACGTGGGATTCTAGAAACTCAAAAGGAAGTGACTGTTAAAGATTAATTAGGAAGCACATCACTGGTTTGGAGAAAGATTAAACAGTTCTTCTCTTGGGTATATGGATCTGGATTCACAATGAAACATGGTAAGTTTTGTTTTTCATGACATGTATGATACAAAAACAAGGATACAAGATTTAGGGAAAAAAAACCTGTAAAAAAATCAATTCAGGTTGCAAATATAATGAGGAAAAAAGGCAAGTAAGGACACAGGACTAAGGAGAGAAGTGTACCAAAAATGGCAGTGGGGGAACAGAGGCAATCAGATACTCCAGGAGTCCCCCCCAGAAGGAAGTAAAAGGCAGTGCAGTCCACCCAACAGTCCATTTTTGTGACCACCACTGCTACTCACCACTGATTAGATGCTGTTCCTAAAGCTACATGAGTCAACAATAGCAGACCCTTCATCCATCCACCTAGCCGTCCTTCTATCCATCCATTATCCATCTACCCATCCATCCTTCCATCCATTATTCATCCATTCAGCAAACATTCTGGAACAATGGTCAGGTGCCAAGACTTATCTTGGCAGCATCTTTAGTGTTGCTTATTCCAAGGCTTTTCTCCTCTGGCCTCTTTCATAAGCTGATAACTGAATCCTCAAGTGAATGTTTTTTTGTTTTTTAAGATTTATTTATTTATTTGAAAGTCAGAGTTACACAGAGAGAGGAGAGGCAGAGAGAGAGAGAGAGAGAGGAGGTCTTCCATCTGCTGGCTTACTCTCCAATTGGCCACAACAGCCGGAGCAGCACTGATCTGTAGCCAGGAGCCTGGAATTCTTCTGGGTCTCCCACATGGGTATAGGGGCCCAAGAACTTGGGCCATCCTCCGCTGCTTTCCCAGGCCATAGCAGAGAGCTGGATCGAACGTTGAGCAGCTGGGACTCAAACTGGCACCCATATGGGATGCCAGCACCGCAGATAGCAGCCTCACCTACTATGCCACAGCACCGGCCACTAGTCCTCAAGTTTTAATGGGAGAAAAATTCAAAGCAATATGAAAGTCCTATCAAGAAAGTCTTTTTCCAAGGCAAAAGTCAAATGAATTATGTTCTTCATTCATGTCAACCCACAGAAATATGTTATTCCAAGACTGTGGTCATCATGTTCATAAATTCTTAGTATCCAAACATTTAAAGTTTGAATATATCCCTCTTCTCAAAAAAGTCTGATTCTTGGCCAATGGTTCTCGATGCTATGGCATCTGAGAGAAGAGGTCGGGGAGCTCTTAAACAGCCCCTCACCTCCCACAACAAAGAATGACCTGGCTCAAATGTCAACAGTGCTGAGGGTGAGACTCAGATCGACCAACACATTGTACAGAAGGCCAAGGTAGCCACGTGATCAACCATGAAACTGCTAAGGGCTATGGTAATGGCTAGCACATGAATAGCATTCCATGTGCACTGCTGTTCTCTTCACCAGCACTTCAGGAACTTAACTGCAAGGCATGACCACATAAAAGGGTATGTTTAGTCACTAAAAATGGCAGGCTTAATACCATCCCAGTGGCTACTACTGGTGCTTTTCAGAAGCTGCCTATTAACAACACACTCTGTATTTATTTATGGCAGCCAGATTCTAAATGTCCCAGTCAAGAGAAAGGAACCGGAAGAAAACAGCACCAGATGCTCAAAACACTTGAATAACAGGCAGACCAAAACGCTTTCCAGAGTTCAGGAAACAGAGGCACAGCCCTGGGTCACCCTTCGGTATGTTTGCTTTTCTTGTAACATCATGGTGTCTAATACAAATGATGCAATATAAAAAGCTCTAGAAAAATCAATACTAGGAACAAATACAAGTAGCAATGAAAGGAAGTGAGCATTCATGAAAATGTCATTGGAGAAAGAATGTGGCACAAAAAAGAAAATTGCTGACTTGGCTCTTCTTTTACACTGTACTGAATTAAAGGGAAGTCTTTAAAAAAATTAAGAGGAAGAAAGAGCAAGTCATACACACACACACACAGAGAGAGAGAGAGAGAGAGAGAGAGAAATTCCATACCCCGCTTTACCCCCCAGGTTTGGGTCAGGCTGAAGCTGGAACTCAGGAACTCAATCCAGGTCTCCCACATTAGTGGCAGGGATCCAATGACTTGAGCCATCACCACTTGAGCCATCACCATGCCTCGTAGCATCTACCTTAGCAGGAAGCTGGTGTCAGGAGCTGGAGCTGAATACAGGTACTCATCTTTGGCCATACCACCCTGAACACACCAGATCTCGTCTGAATACAGGTACTCTAATTGGGGACATGGGTGTTCCACACACTGGCTTAACAGCTTACCCAAATGCCCCAAGAAATAATTTTTTAGAAGAACAACGTCTTGGTTGATTGTGGTTCACTCTCCTGAAAACAGACTGTTTTCTATCAATAGTGAAAGTGCTTACACCTGGGTGACACTAAGCACTCTCATCAGCCCGGAGTGAAGCCAACATGGGAACAGAAAGCACATCAGGGCCTGCCCTGCGCTGCACTAACCCCTGGGCAAAGGGACCGTGTGTCACCTCTCCAGCACACAAAAACATGTCTGACAGAATAACCTCCCAAATAAAAGGCTCAAGTAAATTCATGGGCTCATGTAAGTATTAATTTCAAGGAAGGCAGACGGCCTAACAAATACCTAATAAACTACACAATCCAAGTCACAAGCTTGAGACTCACTCATAGTCTCTTACTATAAAATGATGAGAGATATGAGAGCTAGAGATATGAGAGGAATCCCAGCGATTAACTAGGAATTTGCTAGTCATAAAGACTAGGAAGCTATGAGAATACAATCTTTGCCACTCAGTCATTGAGGGCTCAAGAAATCCAGCCCTTGGAAGATAAGAAAAGTAGTGAACAAGAAGAAAAAAGAGCCTTGTTGTCCAATCTTTATTAAATCAATAACATGAGTCAATGTTTATTTACAGTAACATATGATAGCACAACAAATTATTATCTAATGTAGGTAAAAACCAATAGTTGTCATGAGGTCATTATAGCTGAATACAAAAGAACACAATATATTTTAAAAAAATACATGGAGGCTGGCACCGCGGCTCAATAGGCAAATCCTCCACCTTGCGGTGCCGGCACACCAGGTTCTAGTCCCGGTCGGGGCGCCGGATTCTGTCCCGGTTGCCCCTCTTCCAGGCCAGCTCTCTGCTATGGCCCAGGAGTGCAGTGGAGGATGGCCCAAGTGCTTGGGCCCTGCACCCCATGGGAGACCAGGAGAAGCACCTGGCTCCTGCCATCAGATCAGCGTGGTGCGACGGCCACAGTGTGCAGGGTGCGGCGGCCATTGGAGGGTGAACCAACGGCAAAGGAAGACCTTTCTCTCTGTCTCTTTCTCACTGTCCACTCTGCCTGTCAAAAAATTTTTTAAAAAATTAAAAAAATACATGGATTCAGCACTGTGGTATAGCAGGTAAAGCTGTCGCCTCCAGTACCAGTATCCCATGTGGGTGCCAAATTGAGTCCTGGCTGTTCCACTTCCAATTCAGCTCTCTGCTATGGCCTGGGAAAGCAGTAGAAGATGGCCTAAGTCCTTGGGCCCCTGTACCTGCGTGGGAGACCCAGAAGAAGTTCCAGGCTCCTGGCTTCAGATCAGCATAGATCCGGCCATTGCAGCCATTTGGGGAATGAACCAGAGGATAGATGACCTCTCTCTCTCTCTCTCTCTCTCTCTCTCTACCTGTCTGTAACTCTGCTTTCAAATAAATCTATATTAAAAAATAAAAACATATACAGAACCAATTGTGTCCCATCACCCTGCACCATGACCTAAACATCACTTGAACTTCCCCATACAACATCCTTTGACTGGTCTCTACAAATCAGAGGTCCCCCTTAACTGGCTTTCTGCCTCCTCTTAGGTTTTTTCCCCATTAAAAGATATGCCAGGGGACTGGCATTGTAGTACAGATGGCAAAGCTGCCGCCTGCAACGCCAGCATCTCATATGGACACTGGTTCATGTCCCGACTGCTCCACTTCAAATCCAGCTCCCTGCTACTGCGCTTGGGAAAACAAGGGAAGATGGCCCAAGTACTTGGGCCCCTGCCACCCATATAGGAGATGTGGATGTAGCTCCTGGTTCCTGGCTTCAGCCTGACCCAGCCCCAGCCATTGCAACCATCAGGGGAGTGAACCGGCAGATGGAAGAGATCGCTTTCCCTCTCCCTCCCCTCCCCCTGCTCTGTAAATATTTCAAATAAAATAAATAAATCTTTAAAAAAAAACTCACAAGATCTGTGAGTTCCAATGGAAAAAAAAAGGTATGATATGAAGAAATAAATGCACATTATACTCAAA